TCTGACTCGATGGCACCTGACAACAACAACATAGTACAGTGGTTACGAATCGGGCTGCGAACCACAAGGTCAGCAGTTTGAAACTACCAGCTGTTCCGCAGGAGAAAGATGAGGCTTTCTGCTCCCGTAAAGATTTACAGCCTCGGAAACCCTGTTCAGGGTCACTATGAATCGGAACCGACTCCACAGCACACAGCCACCACCACCACCACGTTAAGCCTTAGTCCTCTATTAGAAAGTCTCAGGGTACGATGTAGAAACAGTAGAAAAATGAAACTGTATTCTAAGATCATCAATTTCTTGTGAAGAAATTATATAGTTTGCTTTTTTTACTGCTCAATGCATCACTAAGCATGCCAAGAAATGGGATAAAACCTAGATGAGGCTTTCAGAAATAAAAATACTTTGAAAGACTGGAACCTTTTCTATTTGCCTTACCAATGGTCTGAGGAAGCCTATTAAAACCAAACTGACAACAAAGGCCAGCTAGCCACACTATCCTTAAATGCCAGGCCATTAGAAGTGGATAGGTCCAGCAAACTGAATGAAATTATCTTTTTGGTGCAGTCTTAATTTTAATTTATTTGAGTGATATTTACCACAAAATCATTCATTATCTACCCTTCTTCATGTGCCATTTCAGGGAAATGTTGTTGTTGTTACGTGACAACGAGTCAGTTCTGGCCCATAGTGACCCTGTATGGGGTATCCAAGGAGGGGCTGGTGACCTTGAACTGCCAACTTTGTGGTTCAAACCGACTGTGCAGTGCAGCGCCTTAGCCCACAGAGCCACACCAGGACTCAGTCACGGAACTAGTACACTTAAGAACTTAGAAAAGAGAGACACTGACTTCGCCACGTTCTCTCTGTTCCTGAAGCCTGGTGCTGTGTTATCACCAACTCTGGGTTCACACAGAGCTACGCTAAAGCTGAAAGATGCCTCCGATCCCTTCCCATCAGGGCCATAAACAAGTCCTCTGTGACACTGAGACAGAGCATATGAGGCCAAATTTACTGAGAAGGCTAAAAGTGGAATGGGAATTTCCCCAGGCTTATAACGTAAGTAAAGGGCTAACGGTTTTTTGGTTTTTTCCCCCCTTTAAAGAACTAACTTCTTGCTTCAGTTTCCAGGGAGAAGTGATTCCCAGAGTCATTCTAGAAGCTACATTTCCAACTTGATTCATTTACAGTTACTGTTGAGTCCAACACATGAAGACAGGAACCATTATGATATACGGTCACCCATAATCAAGCCCCTCACGACCATGAGCAGGACAAAGAGAAACTATGAACAGGCAGATATTCTGACGCTAGAGGTCATCTATTCAGAGAAGCGGCAGTACAGAAGGCCTGGGCCCTCGGTGCTCAGTGACATGAGGCCTCTGGGTGTTACTGCTGCATGCCAGCAAGTCAGTTACTACTCACAGCAACTCCGTGCACAACAGAGCGAAACACTGCCCGGTCCTGAGCCAACCTCACAAACGGATACACAACAGAGCGAAACACTGTCAGGTCCTGCGCCAACCTCACAACCGGATACACGACAGGATGCAACACTGTCAGGTCGTGCCCCAACCTCACAACCGGATACACAACAGGATGAAACACTGCCCATCCTGCCCCAACCTCACAATGTTGCTGTACTTGAGGGAACTGCTACTGTCACTGTATCAATTCATCTCGTTGCGGGTCTTCCTCTTTTTCAGCTGACCCTCCATTTTACCAAGTATAATGTCCTTCTCCAGAGACTGGTCCCATCCAGTAATATGTCTGAAGTATGAGAGACGACGTCTGGATAACCTGGCTTCCAAGGAACAGTCTAGTTGTACTTCTTTCAACACAAATTTGCTTGTTCTTTTTGGTCCACGGTACTTTTAATATTCTCCTCCAACACCATAACTCAAATGCATCAATTCTACAGTCTTCCTTATACATAATCCAACTTTCACATGCATATGAGGTTATTGAAAATACCACGGCTTGGGTCAGGTGCACCTTAGTCCTCAAGCTGACATCTCTGCTCTTGATCACTTTAAAGAGGTCTTGTGCAGCAGATTTGCCTAATGCAGTTATGTCATTTGATTTCTTGACTGCTGATCCCTTGAGTGTTGATGGTTGACCTGAGCACAGTGAAGTCTTTGACGACTTCAGTCTTTTCTCCACATGGATGTTGGTTACTGGTCCAGTGCTGAGGATTCGTGTCTTCTTAACACTGAGGTGCAACCCACACCACAGGCTGCAATCTTTGATCTTCATGAGTATTTTAAGTCCTCTACTTTCAGAAAGCAAGGTTGTATCATGTCCCTATTTCAGATTGCTAATGAATCTTCCTCCAACCCTGCTGCTATGTTTTTCTTCATATAATCTCCCGGCTTCTTGGATTCTCTGCTCAGCACACAGATTAAATAAATATAGTGAAAGAATACAACTTTGGTGCACCCATTTCCTAACTTTCAACCAGTGTTCCCTCGCTCTGTTCGAACAATTGTCTCTTGGTCCATGTACACATTCCTCATGAGCACAATTAGCTGGTTCCGGAATACTCATTCTCTGCAATGTTGTCCACAGCTTTTTATGATCCACACAATCAAAAGCTTTTGCATACTCAATAAAGTACAGGCAGAAACAGTATGTTCTGGTAGCGTAGTGGTTGCGATTCAGGCTACCAACCTCAAGGTCAGCAGTTCAAAACTACCAGCGGTTCCGCGGGAGAAAGATGTGACTTTCTGCTCCCGTAAAG